AGTGCATTTCAGAGTTTGCCGATGCGCTCATCGTGATTTTTGAGACATTATCTGCAAAGAACAACTCTTATTTTTGCTCCAGCAAAAGTTTGCAACAGGCCCATTATACGCTCAACCAGTCATCACGAAGAGGTTGCACTTATAAATCCAACTAATTAGTCAGATATTCTATGATATGATCCGAAAACGACGAACTTTATATTCCGTGCGCAAAATTGTCACGAAGCCTCGTTATCGAGAACAATCTCAATCATGACCTCGTTACTCACTAATTTCACCAGGTTTCGTCCTCTTAACTAGTCTCGCTCGCTCCGATTGTCTTTGGTTCTCTCTCCATTTCTCTCTCTCTCTCTCTCCCCCTCTCTCCCCCTCTCTCTGATTCCAATCTTAAATTATTCATCCTAACAGTCGGGCTTCTGATAAGGGTATTCACAGAAAAATGTAAAATTGTGGTTAACGCTGCGAAAAGTTACTGAATACAAATTAAATAATGAATAAGAAACGAATTGTAAACTTTTCGTTACAGAAGTTTCCTCCGTGCTTGTTCCAGCCGTCCGTTGTCAAATGCTAGCAGCGTTGTCGTGTTTCATGGCTGAATTTATTCTTTAGAAAACAATCCCGATCATCATTCGAATGACGTGAGCTTTCCATCGATAAAACATCAAGTCTTCTCAAGGAAAATTATAGATTGCTTCCTTTGAAATTTTTTGACGCGTTTAATTCAATTATTTTGAAACGCAGAAAATATGGAACATTCAATAAGTCAAGTGAGGATAGATTATTTTCACTTTTTGATTCTCAAAAATCGGATTTTAGGTGTGAAATTTTCATAAAAATTGCTCTAAGACTAATTTTAGTTAAAATCATTCATACCAACATTTTCTTTAAAAATCTGCACTTAGGCGCCTTTTCCATGAAGCCCCTTAATTTATTTGCACATCGTTGCTTTTGCGATTAATGAAAACTTCTCATTATCATGAGATGTGATTGGTGCCTCGCAGCTCTCATTATCTCGAGTTCCATAAGTCTTAAAACGTCGTTTCTCTCACGAAGAGACGTAACTACATTTTAATGTTGCCAAATTTCCCGTCGGAAATTGCATTTCAACAGGAAGGACTTCGGACATATTTGTCCGAAAATTTCACCGATTTTTCCTTTGATCTCCTACAGGAATCAGCAAAAAAATGTCGACAAAAATTGCACGGGTACTTTTTCGTAAAAAAAAAAATTTTCTGGGTCAATTTGGCAACCTTGGAATGGAGTTACAATTCTATGTCTGAGGAAACGGAACTACGTTTTAATTTTGTCAAATTTCCCGTCGGGAATTGCATTTTTCCGAGGAGAATCTTCGACATTTTCGCCTGATAATTCCACCGGTTTTTCCTTTGATATCATGCAAGAATCCGAAAAAATTTGGACGAAAATTCTACAGGTTCTTCCTTGTAAAAATAACTGATTTTTTTAGTCAATTTGGCATCCTTGAAGTGTAGTTACGTTCGTCCGGAAGACGACGAAAAGTTCCGTTCGTCGGCGAAGATGCGGCATCGAGGGATGGATCGAATATCGGGCAGCTCCTCGACCGCGAAAGCAAAAGAGACCGGAAGCCGGATCGGAATATTCGTAGCCCCTCTGACGTAAGGGCGTATCTTGATTCTCGCTTGAGCCGCAGAAAGCATAGATTCTTATGTATAAGAGGGCTCACGTGGAAACTGAGATACGCTTTTACGTCAGAGGGGCGGCGTATTGATGTAATACTCCGGGAGGGGGGCGCGCATTTCATCTGAGGAATAATGCAAAAATGAGCTCTTCCCTTTCTTCGGGAGCAATACTGCCGTGCTAAGGAAAAACGCCGTATGAACCCTCAGGCGTTGCCAAATTTCCTTTGATAAAACAGGAATTTCCCGGGAAATTTATGAACATTTTTCTTCCAATTTTTTAGATAATTTTGTTCGCAATGTCACCTAAAGCTCCTGAAACTCTCGAAGCAAAATTTTCATAACTTTCCCGCAAAATAAACATTTTATCGAAGGAAATTTGGCAACTCTCGAAGGTTCATACGGCGTTCTTCCTTAGCACGGCAGAATAATGACCCAACTTTCAACAATGCCGATCGGGCCGGGCGCTTCCTGCGGCTCCGAGAGGGCTCCAGCCGGTGATTTTTGAGTCGCGAGCCCCGTAATGATCGGTTTTCCGTTACTCTTTGATGCGCGCTTTGAAATAACGCCAATTCGAGGGTTTCGTCAGCGCTCCGAGTAATTATTATTTATTGTTTTGTTTCGCGTCTCGCTAACCGTCGCGTCGTCCCTGTCATCATCCATCGATGCTTTCTTTGCACCGAGAGATTTTTTTTTTTAAAAATCTGAAATTAATCTGTCCTCGATCCGTCGCCCTTTTTATATTCATATTCTTCCAGTCGCGATGAATTTTCTTCGGCGAGAAGATGTAACGATGCATAAATGGACCACGTTAATCAGAAAGGAACCAAGCCACATCAGCTATTGCCAAATTTAATCGGGTAATTTCATTTTTCACATGAAAACGGTTGTGCGGATTTTCGTGCAAATTTCAGTAAATTTTCTTCATAGTACAAAGCAAATTCCTTAACATTTTCGAAGAAATCCACACAAACGTTCTCTCGTAAAAACTTAAAGTTCCCAGTTAAATTTGGCAACAGCTGATGTGGCTTGGTTCCTTTCTGTTAAACGCGGTTCAAATGTGACGTATCTCAGGAAACGTCGTTACCATCCAGCCAAAATATCACAAGCGCCATGCGACGTTTAAAAATTTCCGCTGCCATTTTATTTTTTATGGACAAACTGTTCAATGAAGCTGTCCAAAAACTTCACTGAATTCTCTTTGTGCTGCCGCTTAAATTCAATGAAATTTTCCGACGGATTCAACCAACAAGTTTCTATGTAAAAAAATAAATTAACAGCGGAAAGTTTTAAACATCGCATGGCGCTTGTGATACTTTAGCCGGAAGGTAACGCATTATACTTCCGTCAGCAGTATAGGGTTCTGCCTGTATTTTAAATTATACTGGCTCAAGTTATACTATATGGTCATTACCCGATGCCATCTGGTCATCTGTTTCCAAAACCACCCTCCTCAACTTTATTTTTCTTCCTATTTGTCTCGCAGAAAACTGTACACAGCACAAGAAGAGCGAGGGCAGCACTTACAATCTGAAATAACGCCCGCAAATCCTTATGTAGGCAAAATGACTGCACGGGCGTTCGAATAGTTGCTCGAATCAGATTCATTACATTTCCGTTTATTTGTCGTTCTTCTGACGTATGGGCGTGACTGCAATTTGAGATGAGCCCTGCGGCCCTGCCGTTCGCATACGTTCATGCTTTCTTTCGTACGGCACGGAACAAACGGAATGATAGAGAAAACGGCAGCAGGGTGTCTACTAAAACAGGCTGGCAAAAATTCAGTGCTTTTACGGTACTTTTTCAGTACTTTCCCGAGAAATTCAGTACATCCTCAACAGAAAAATCAGCACTTATTCAGTACCTCCACTAGACGAAATCTCATTCAAATTGCGACAAAAATGACATAAACACACACTTTAATTGGTGGCTGGAAAACTAACTGACTACACAATCGCGATCTGACAGACAAATACTACTAAAAAAATTATAACGCATTCTCTATGTACGAAAATTAATTAGCAGCGGAAAGTTTTAAACGTCGCATGGCACTTGTGATACTTTAGCCGGAAGGTAACGCATTATACTTTCCTTAGTAGTATAGGGTTCTGCCTTTGTTTGAAATTTTACTGGCTCAAGGTATACTATATGGTCATTACCCGATGCGTAATAGCTGAGGAGAAGGCTCTTCTTGCTGCCACCCACGAGAAAATGCTGAATCCCCGAATGTAAAAGTTTCCACCATGCCCTCAACAGTACAGAGTTTCCGTTTGTCACTGATACGGACCCGTGTAAAATTGGAGGAGAATTGTCGACATAGCGTCGAAGTTAAAACAAGTAGCACTCTTACAAATCCTCCAAGTGTTCATTAAATGTCAGAGTCCTTTAACGGTTTTTAACTCTCGTGTGGGCATGTTTTCTCTGCTGAACGCAATTCTCGCCCGCGTAGTTTTCCCAAACAGGATTGCTCGCTACGATTATTCAGAGAAAAACACTCCATCCCTTCGAGGTCAAGCCTTAGCTTTAATATTTTAGTCTCAAATGAACCTTGTTAAGCAGAAAGGAACCAAGCCACATCAGCTGTTGCCAAATTTAATCGGGCAATTTAATTTTTTACATGGAAACAATCGTGCGGATATTTGTGCAAATATCTGTGAATTTTCTACACAGTGCGAAGCAAATTCCTAAACATTTTCAAAATTTTTTGGGAAAAAATTGAATTTTCGGGAAAATTTTAAGTAAGAGAAATTTTAGTCTCTATTTTTAATTTCTGTCTTCCATTTTTACGAACCAGCAGCGAAACTGCCTGTAGACATAAAAGAAACATAGTAATCTATTACAAAATTGACTACAAGATAAAATAAACAAGTAATATTTGGATTGAATTTCGCAATGTGGAACTACAATTCCTGGCTCAGTTTAGAAACAAAGCATGTTCCAATAGTTTCTCTACACACATAAGTGTTTTTACGGATGATCTAGAACTTTTAGTTCCAAATTGCAAAATGTAGTCCATTTCAAACTACATGTAGATGAGAAACTTACACACGTACATGTACTGAGATTACTTGTTCATTTTGGCTCGTACCTCGATTTTTCAATCAATTTCTCTGTTAAAAATAAAATTTAAAAACTCACTAGTCAGAGGGAATTCAAAACTATCCGACGCGCGTTTCGACTCGTTGGATCATCATCAGAGGCGCATTGATGATGATCCAACGGGTCGAAACACGCGTCGGATAGTTTTGAATTCCCTCTGACTAGTGAGTTTTTAAATTTTATTTTTAACTTTTGACCTAGTCCGGTACTTTTTAAAATATTTGATAGTTACTATGTTCTATACAGCTTAGCCAGCCAAATTTGGCAATAAAATGTACTTAAGATAAACTACCCAAAACTATCGGGCGAGTCATCGTTTTGGAGTCCCTCGCAGTGCTACAGAGCGGCCGTGCGCCAGTGCGGCGGAAGATCGATGCCATGCCGTGATGTGATGTGTCTCAGCACGGAAGTGCTTGCCCTTGACTGGAAACTAATTAACCCCGCTTACAAGTGCCTTGCGGAGGATTGCAGTGAGTACAACTCAGTGAGACCCACTTGCCTCTGGAAACCCAGCTCGGTTGTGTTATTCGTGGGTTAAATTTCAAACCGGCGGAGTTTAACTAGCTCGGCTTAATTGGAAATCGTGGAAGAGTGGTCCGTGAGAACTGGTCGATTGTTACGCGAGCGCCTACTGTTGAAACAGCCGAGCGCGGAAATTGTGGTGATCGTGTCGTCTGAAGTTGAACAGTGTTTCGGAACTTCGTCCCATTCGGGAATCGTGTTGAAAGGGTTTTTTTTCGGAATCTGTGAGGCATCATCCACTAATTATTCGCAATTTTCGTAAGCTGTAATGAGGAGAACGAACAAACGGACTGCTTTATTCTTCATTTTAGAAAGTTGACTCGTTAGTTCGAAACATATTGAAACCAATGAACCACGTTGGAGAATCCTTGTTGTGACTTTGATGGTGGAATCGCATCGAAGCTGGTGAAAATCGCACTGAAGCGTGATTTGAATAAACGGCTAACGCTACAAGATAAGTGAAACGACTAGGAATTGTTTTCGATTTTTGCGAAAATTCCACAGGGTTAAGATTATTGACATTTTCCAATCCATGTGAAATAATGTGATGCGCCTGGAGGCAAAAAGGCTTGCTGATTCTATTACCGAAGATTTTTACTCACTTGAAAGTGGAAAGTAATCGGAATAACACTCAAGCGTTCACAGAAAATGCTGTCACCACGGCCGACCAAATTTTTTGAATGTGAAGAAGAATACAAATTAATTCCTATCAATTCAAATTTGGGTCACACACACTCGTTAGATTTGAGATTATAAGGATTGACAAATGAGACGTGTTCATCGAAAGCTTTCGCAATAATAACAACTGCATTTAATCGTATCCGCAAGAGAATTGTGCATATAAGCCTACTGAAAAATAAATGGATATATAGTAAATCTTTCAAATTTATCATTCTTAAGTAAAATTGCAAGCACAATACAAACGGTGATCAAATGATAGCCCATTTGAATAACCAAGCAAGCGAGTGTTTTTATCGGGCCTAAATTCAGAAGCAAACCACGCTCCAGTCAGAGATTAATCCACTGCACGAAAGTGATTATTCGATTCTCTTGGAAGCAACCCTAAACGACGATCAAATCTAACTGGAAAAATCTTGTGAAAAATTGGGATTCACATCTACATTCATCCAACTCAGCATTGACAGCTGAAACAATCCCAGGATAAGTTGCCCTAGCATCCACGCAACCGAGTCATACTACAAGACATCGAACTAAAGTTCGTTTTGTGCCTTAATCTTGTCTACAAAAAGTCAATGAAATTCTCGAAGTAAGCTTTTTATAACCATATCAAGTTTATTGACCCAAAGAGTGCCTCAAATGATCAGTCGGCTCCAAGAAGCACCCCGGTAGAAGCCACAGAAAATCACCAAAGCCACCAGTTGAGGTGACCCATCACCGACACTCGAAGGGCTATGTGAGTGGGCGAAGCGGCGGCTCAAGATTCCCCAGGCGCAGGCGCAGGGTAGCGAGCCGACCTATGCGAGACCGGCCCGCGCCATGGTCGAGTCACACCGGGCCGACCGGGTGACCGCTCACCCGAGCCGGGAGCGGGGGAGCAAGGGGGATGGGATGAACTCCGTCGGCGCCGCCGCCGCCAACCCCCTCTCCGCCTCGCAAGATCCGGCTCGGAGGGCGAGCGCGCGGCAGGGCGGAGCCAGCGCGACCCCCACCCCATTCTCCGCCTCGCAAGACCGGTTGAACTCCCGAGAGTGGGGAGAATCCTCGCAGGAACCGGCTCGGCGGACGAGCGCGCGGCAAAGCGGGATAAGCGCAGCCCCCACCTCATTCTCCGCCTCGCAAGACCGGTTGAACTCCCTGGAGTGGGGAGTCTCCTCCTCGCGAGAACCGGTTCGGCGGGCGAGCGTGCGGCAGAGTGGGGTAAGCAAAACCCCCACTCCGTTCTCCGCCTCGCAAGACCGGTTGAACACCGGGGAGTGGGGAGAATCCTCGCAGGAACCGGTTCGGCGGGCGAGCGCGCGGCAGAGCGGGGCGAGCGCGACCGGCTCTCCCTCCACCTCGCAAGACCGGTTGAGCTCCTGGGAGTGGGGGGGCAAGGGAGGAGGGGTGAGTGGGGTCTCGGACCTGGCCCGGCGGCGGCGGCACAAGACGGTGCACTTCGGCGAGCAGGTGCGGGATAAGCCCGAAGAGGAGCGGGGCGGAGGGAGTGCCCCCGGGTCCATCGTGTCCCTCCCGGACCAGTTCGAGCGGAACGTCCAGCAGCTGTTCAGCTTCATCGGGACCGTGCTCAGCGCCTGGGATGCCGGCGAGTCCAGCGACAGCGCCAAGTCCGACTCGGCGCTCCTCTCTCGCGCTCAACAGGAGAGCCACCGCAAGAGGCACGCCCGACGGAGCACGGTCAGCTACTTGCTCAAGGATGACTCCGGGTCCGACCGGGGAGTCAGCTCGCCCGTCTTCAAGCATAACCATTGGAAGACCACGCCCGGATCCTGCAACGCATCCTTCCTACGAAAGGTAACGTATCCCAAGTCTTCTTCTTCTTCTTCTTCTACCTTCTGACTAGGGCCGTGACCGTTTGTCTAGCCTCTAAATTAGTATATAAATATGACAAATAAAATATGATGGCGATGAGAGGGGATTAATTCTCTGGGGATGAAAGACAGCTCTGTGCCCATCTCTTGGGCGGTCGTCCGGGTTGCCTTTGGCTATGAGGTCGTCCTACCAAGTCCTATTTTAAAATTAACTTAGTTAATAGGGAACTTGAGACAGGAATAAGTGTGTGAGATGATGGGTGTGAAGAATGACATCATGCTCGATGTCAGTTCTAAGAAGTCAGTCTGGTATATGGACCTGTGTGGAGGATAGCAGTCGATCGGGTCTCGGCCACGTTCGCGGTTGGGTTCCTCCCGGGAGGAGATGACTTGGACGTCCTGGGAAACGTTGACGACAAGGAGTGAAGGAGGAGATCAGGAGGTGTCAAATGCCTCATGATCTGTGGGAGAATCCATTTCAATGATGATTGGGCGTCGCAGAGCGCTCCAAAGCGCTGGGATAGCGGCTTGATGTATATCATAAGGAACTTGAAATCCTGGTTCATTCAGTACATATATCAACCCCCAGGGGTTTATGCAAGCCGATTTCAGGGGCGTCCCCGAGTAGAATCTACAATTTGACGACATTTTGCAATGAGGAATTTCAGTTTATGGCTCACTTCAGACACAATGTAACGTAAGCATCAATAGTTTCCCTATCCTCATAAAATTTTTTGCGGATGAGCCAGAGATTTTAGGTCCAAATTGCAAAATGTAGTCCAATTGACCTTTTTCCAAGGCTATTTTATATCCAAGGACTATCTCCTATCGAAAGCCGCAAAAATCATATAAATTGGCCCGGTAGGAGTTAGGACATTAGAGCGAATTGTGACGGAACATGAAAATTGCGGGGGATTTTACACGTAGAAATAAGAACCGTAGGAAAGTAACATGCGCAGGTAAATCAGATTTTCCTAAGTTTTCGCTGGATTTCCATTTTGACTGAAATGAACTTCTCTTAAGTGCCCATGATTAGAATTCAACGTTCTAATGGTGGTCGATTCATCATTCAGAGGTCGCTTGTAAGCCCTGTCTACCTTATAAAGTATGGTTTTGACCTTGAACCCCTGAACAGTAAGTTAATTGTCGCGATGTTTTTTTGAAGAGTGCTTTTCAGGTCTATCATCATTATTAACAAATCTACCTCAACTGAAAACTGCAGAAAAACTGCTATATCTCGGTAGTAATGTCACTGACGCTTAAAGTGACAATCTAAGGACGAAATGGTAAATTCATATTTCCAGTGCACAATATCCAAGCGCCAATGAAAACAGGAAAGTTTTGTGATAACAGAAAGATTAAAATCTCTACTGGAACACCTGTTGTTGACGGGCTCTTTGGGTTCAAGCCAATTAGTAGCAGTAAAATTGAGGCGCGTTGGGTATCAACATGTTGCTGGAGGCTACTCACTCGAGATCAAGCGATAGGTGATCAGAAACTTTCTGGAATGTAGCAACCCATACCTGTATGACGACTACATCGCAAGTTGGTGTGCCGTAATGAGGAAATCAATATTGTCGACGTTGCCAGGTCGGTCGTATACTTTCGATTTATATCGTGCTCGACGCGCGTCCCGGGGGTAGTTCGGCATCGTGGCCTGGCGGATGGGGAGTGCGCGGAAACAATTAAAACGAGGGATGACAACTCCAATAATTCAGGCAGCCGGAACGAATGACGACATCTGCCGGATTATAATTCCACCCCAATTTTGCGGATCCCCAAGCTGCGCCGGGTAGTTCTGCTACCCGCCTAACACCTGTCCCGAATCCGGGCTCTTTGCGGAAAAATGTTGTCGTGTCGAATCCATGCTCGGTGGTTGGCACAGGTCAGGTTTCGGCGGGTGTGAAGTTGAAAACTTCGGACGAGAAGATAAAATACATTGAGGTTTTTATGGGGCCAAGTGTATTCGTCGATGAAATTCCCATGACACTATTTTTGGGGATTTTAGATCGAAACTTCGAAAAATTTAGCGAGAAACAGGAACTCGAACTTTTAGAGCACACAATGTCGTTTTAAAAAAATCAACGAGGCATGAATTTCAACTCATTAAAAAACTGGTTTTTAACCGGGTGTCAATTGGACGGAATCAGCCTACGATAGCCTATTGGCAGTATCAGAACGTATCCTCGTAATGATCAAGTAGTTGTTTATTCATTAATTTTCAGCAAGTCTCGAGTATTTTAGTAGGGATGATTTGCGACTAGTTGTGTCTGAAAGCAACCTCTAAGTTCCAAAAAGGATAAAAATCAATACTTTAATGAAGGATCATTACGGTATTAAAGAACAATCCACCGACATTTTTAGTTAAATCATCCACGTGAGGATAGATCTGAATACATTCGCAGGTTTTTGCTCTGTAGAATGACTCCTGCATCAGAAGGGTACTTTTATCCCAGGTATGCTAACATTGCAGCAGTATATCCGTCTCTAACTATGTCACGGCGCAAAAGATAACTATTCCGACTCTCCGGTCCGCGGTGAAGTATACCCAGCTGTTTGAAGGCGGTTCATAAGTCGCAGTTCAACTTACAGCAGAAATGTAGGCTGCGTTCATTTTGTGAAGTTGACTAAATGTGAAGATGAACTTACTTTTTCTGGCGTGCGTGTAGTGGTGCTCTTTTTTGCAGCCCTAAATTATCATTAGAGATTAGAGATCATATTTAAGACAAGCCGCAAAAGCGCTCAACTTAAAGTTTGATTTTAGACTATCACATAGTTTTAATTGCAAGCATCATTCAAGCTTCCATAAAACTTATAACCCTTTACCTTAAAATGTACATCGTCATAGGGAGAAAACCTCGAGGAAATCCTCATGAAACTGCACTTCTGCGTTTTTTCTTCTAAGCCCCTTATTTATTCTTCTCTTTTCTCAACTTAAAGTTTGATTTTAGACTATCACATAGTTTTAATTGCAAGCATCATTCAAGCTTCCATAAAACTTATAACCCTTTACCTTAAAATGTACATCGTCATAGGGAGAAAACCTCGAGGAAATCCTCATGAGGCAATCTCCTCAAGGCAAATTTCAGTAATCGAGGAAAACTCCCGTTTTTTCGACTTAACTCAAGAACGAAGAGAAAGGAAATTTTTACGTATTTATAGGTTTCGTAGCTATTATAATCCGAAAACGAAAATCAAGATTTTATCGTTCATAGCTGCGCGCCAGAGCGAGGTATTGTGCTTTCTTTTTCAATGGAACTTTTACAACGTGAAAGTTCGGATGATCGTCGCGATTTTGCGCCGAAAACACGAGTAGCGCTCGCAGACAAAACAAAGAAGCTCCATAACTTTGGTAATTAAAACTTCAACTCGTTAAAAATTTCTCCGTCGAAAGTGTAATATTTCGGTAGCTTTGCAGTGGCGGAGGGATTAGGGGAAAGTAAATATTTAAGTTCTAAAATTGTCCTTCAACCACTCTTGGTCGTACTTCGTGGAAATGTGAGCACCTGAGACATTCTCAAAAACAGTTTAGAAGTTGTCGATTTCCCTCATCTTTTCAATCTTGGCTTGCGAGAAAGGCGCCATTTGAAGAAAATAAAAGTTGATTTTTGTAGTGTGCTGAAAAAAACGTTTCGTGCTTCTGGCATAAATCATCGTGATAAGACCAGGCATCAACCCCACCCAACTCGTTCACTGCCATCGTAACTTTCACAATCATCCAAGCCGATAAATAAATCTTGAGGATATATTAATTTTGAGACAGTATACCAAATAATTATTCTGCACGAATTCCGATCAATCTAAACCTCAATATTTAACTAGCTTACTTTCTTTATATCTTTTTCAACTTTCTTGCCTTTCTACTCCTACGCATTCTACCATTGATTTCTTACTTTCTCTCAAAAAATTTCCACTCAATCTCTCTGTTGCCTCTACTTGGAATTTTAACCTAATTTACCGTACATTTTTACCTATTTTGTCATATAATCTAAAACCTCATTGCAGAGGTGTGAATTGTCGTATTTGCTAAAGCACCCGTTTAAGGTAAACTAATGGGCCTGTTGCAAACTTTTGCTAGAGCAGAATGAAGAGTTGTTTCCTATAGATAATGCCTCAAAAATCACGATGAGCGCATCGGCAAAGTCTGAAATGCACTCATAAATTCACAATCTGCGTTAGAAATTTGCGTTATTTTGAGCTTCCCGCTTCAAAAACGATACTACTGCACAGGTGAACATTTTGTTAGAGGAGTCGCTCCATCGTCGGCAATATTCATCATGGCCGACGCTTGCGCAGTTCCTCGCGTAATTCGAGGAGAGTTCAAGGTCAATTAAGGCGGGCGAGGAAAATATGAACGTAAACACGCCGATTGTTATATGGTTTAATCCTGTTCAGGTGTTATCTCGTCCCATCACACGTGGTTTGGCGGACTGGCGTCGGCCATGATGAGTATTGTCGCCAATGGAACGACTCCTCTAACAAAATGTTTACCTGTACCGTAGTATCGTTTTCGAAGCGGGAAGCTCAAAAAACCGCAAAAATCTTACGCAGATTGTGAAGTTATGAGTGCATTTCAGACTTTGCCGATGCGCTCATCGTGATTTTTGAGGCATTATCTGCAGGAAACAACTCTTAGTTTTGCTCTAGCAAAAGTTTGCAACAGGCCCATTCTTCTACTACTACTACTACTACTACTACTACTACTACTACTACTACTACTACTACTACTACTACTACTACCACTACTAATTCTTTGATTTTTCATGATAGAACGTGGAAAATCCTATACAAATATTACAGAAGCGACAAAAGAGGGTCTCAGAAAACTCAGCTCATTTTTAGACCATTGAAAACATCGGCCGCATTCAGTTGAAACATCTACAAAACCCGTCCAATCAAATCCAAAAACTTAATCAGGTTACAATGAAAACACGCAGTCAAATTCAACACAATATGTTGATATGATTTAATACTTCACTGATA